CCCTGCTTCTGTCTTTAATGTTCTTTTTTAAATTACATTGTGTTTTGTGTTTGTGAGCACGTATGCATGATCGTGAGTGTGCAGCTGCTCCCTCACCATGTGGGTCCCAGGGACAAACTCAGGTAGACACGGGTTACAGCAAGTGCCTTTACCCATCTCAATGGCTCTGACTTAAAAAAAATCCATCACATGAGTTTATATCTTTACTAATTCCCTTAGAAACAGTATCTACATTATTTCACTTTTCAATTCCTGCTATCCAAACTACACACAGATGTTCTTATATGTAACTCGTTCATACAAGTTCCTCTGAAGGGTGTGGTCAGGAGTGAAACTACTCTCATGGGCATGTTTGCTTGCTTTTGAGACAGGCTCTCCCAACGTCCTGGCTGGCCCACGATCCTGTTCTGTCTCTGTCCACCTCACAACTGCTGGGATTACAGTCACGGGCAACCACGCTCTGCTTCTACACCCAGCACCGACCCTTCCATGCCAACTACCCACCTCAGGGATTGCAGCAGCTCATAACAATAACTCACAGAATATTTATAAATCAGGTAGCTGGGAAGGAACCAGTGACCAAAATATGAATTCTACTTTGTTTCTTGTAGTTTCGAGTCCTGGATCCAGGGCTTGTACATGGCAAAAGCTAGGCAAACTCTTTACTACTAAGCTATACTCCCAACCCTCCAGACATAATTCTTTACATCAAAGAGTGTGCAAGCTGAGTGTGCTGGCACACATCTTTACTCCTACTACTTGGGAGGAAGAGGCAGGTGTATTTTGTGAACTTGAGGCCATTTTTGGTCTACACAGTGAGTTCCAGGCCAGCCAGAGCTACATAGTGAGGCCTTGTCTCAAAAAAAAGGAAAAAAAAAGACTTATCTCTCTTATAAACATTGATGCAAAAATACTCAATAAAATACTTGCACAGGAGACCACTTCCTGAACAGAACACCAACAGCACAGGCTCTAAGATCAACAATAATTGGACCTCATGAAACTGAAAAGCTTCTGTAAAGCAAAGGACACTGTCATCAGAAAAAAATGACAGCCTACAGACTGGGAAAGGATCTTCACCAACCCTACATCTGACAGAGGGATAATATCCAGAATATATAAAGAATTCAAGAAGTTAAACAATAACAAATCAAGTAATCCAATTTAAAAAATGGGGTACACAGCTTAACAGAGAATTCTCAGTAGAGGAATATCGAATGGCAGAGAAACACTTAAAGAAATGTTCAACGTTCTTAGTCATCAAGGAGATGCAAATCAAAACAACCCTGAGATTTCACCTTACACCCATCAGAATGGCTAAGATCAAAAACTCAAGTGACAACACATGCCAGAGAGGATGTGGAGAAAAGGGAACCCTCTTCCATTGCTGGTGGGAATGTAAACTTGTACAGCCACTTTGGAAATCAATCTGGCACTTTCTCAATTAGGAATAGGTAGTTCAAGATCCAGCTATACCACTCCTAGGCGTATATCCAAATATATGCGCAAGTATACAACAAGGACATTTGCTCAACCATGTTCTTAACAGCTTTATTCGTGATAACCAGAATCTGGAAACAACCCAGATGTCCCTCAGTAGAGGAATGGATACAGAAATTGTGGTACATTTACACAATGGAATACTACTCAGCAATTAAAAACAAGGAAATCATGAAATTTGCAGGTAAATGGTGGGAACTAGAAAAGATCCTGAGTGAGGGAGGTAACCCAGAAGCAGAAAGACACACATATACTTATATACTCACTTTTAAGTGGATATTAGTCATATAATATAGGATAAACATACTAAAATCTATACTGTAAAGAAGCTAGCAAGGAGGAAGACCCTAAGGAAGTTGCTCAATCCTCATTCAGAAAGCAAATGGGATAGACATCAGAAGAAGGAGAAAACAGGAACAGGACAGGAGCCTTCCACAGAGGGCCTCTGAAAGACTCTACCCAGTAGGGTATCAAAGCAGATGCTGAGACTCATAGCCAAACTTTGGGCAGAATACAGGGAATCTTTTGAAAGAAAGGGGAGATAGAAAGACCTTGAGGGCATAGGAACTCCACAAGGAAACCAACAGAACCAAAAAATCTGGGCCCAGGGGTCTTTGCAAAGACTGATACTCTAACCAAGGACCATGCATGGAGATAACCTAGACCCCTTGCTTCAGATGTAGCCCATGGCAGCTCAGCCTCCAAGTGGGTGCCCTAGTAAGGGCAACAGGGGCTGTCTCTGACATGAACTCAGTGGCTGGCTCTTTGATCACCTCCCTGAGCGGGGAGCAGCCTTACCAGTTCACAGAAGGGAAGACAATGCAGCCAGTCCTGATGAGACCTGACAGGCTAGGGTCAGATGGAAGGGGAGGAGTACCTCCCCTATCAGTGGACTGGGGAAGGGGCATGGGAGAAGAGAGAGGGAGGGTGGGATTTGGAGGGGAGGAGGAAGAGAGCTACAGCTAGGATACAAAATGAATAAATTGTAATAAAAATATATAAAAATATATATAAAAGAGGTGTGCCTATGCATATACATATATTAATACACAATATATATGTGTATGTATGTATATATACATATACACATTACTATGTATACATTTACAGGGTTCTTATATATACATGGAAAATGGGCAAAGTCCCTTAATAAACATGAAGATATATACAGGTGCTCAACATCGTTAGCTACTATGAAAATCAAAATCACAGGTTTACCTTCCATCCACCAGGATACCTGTAATAAAAAGAGGAAGTACAGACAAGGTTGCAGAGAAGCCAAAGCTCTCATATACTCTTGGGGAGAAATCCGGCAGTTCCTCAACAAGTTAAAACATGGGGCTCCATAGGACTCGATGATTTCACTCCTAAGACTGTGTGGATATAAATATACACACACATACACATGTATACATATATATATGTATATATGTATATAACTATATATACACATATATAGTTATATACATATATTTCTAGAGAAAATAAAAGAATCTACCCAAAACCTTGTATATCAACTATTCATAGCAGCAGAATTCATAACAACCAAGAGTGGGAACATTTCGTGTCCATCAAATCATAAATAAAATGTGACAAACACACACACACAGAAATATTCAGTCAAAAACTAGAGCTAGAGCTTAAAAAGGTGACATGAAAGAAGCCACACACAAAAGGCTGATATTAGATGACAGTTGGATTCATATTACGTCAGTCTCAAAGCAACAAACCCTGGGAGGTGGGGAGTGGGCGAGGAGTTGTGAGGGAAGTGACGAGTCACCAGGAATGACTCAAGTTTTTGGTATGCACAAGGCACCAATATTCCAAATTCATTGTGCCGATGGCTGCGCATCTCAATGATGTAGTAAAACCCACGGATTCTACACTGAAAAGACCATAAACTGTGTAATTTAACTCAATAGGAAGTGGTGGCTCAAGCTGTTAATTCCAGTACTGGCGAGGCAGAGGCAGGCAGATCGCTGAGTTTGAGGCCAGCCTGGTCTACAGAGCAAGTTCCAGGACAGCCACGGCTACACAAAGAAACCCTGTTTCGAAAAACCAAGAAGAAAAAAAGAAAACATCTATTATCACAGCTTCTTTGGGTTACAGAGCTGGAGCTAGTGGTTCTACTCCGGTAGGCTTAGGTTGTTACAGATGGGAGCTGCAGGCACCTAAGCAGCTTCCAGTCCCTGCTGCCCAGGAGGAGGCCTTGCCTTCTCCACATGATCCCGTGGAGGGCTGCTGGAGCGTCCACAGGGTGCTCTTTCTTCACACCAAGCCATCCAAGAAAGGACGGTGCATCTGTGTCTTTCATGACATTTCAGAAGTCACATACTACTGGTGACACAAACCAGCCCTATTCACTCCAGGGAGGACTACCCAAGAGCTTGAGTAACAGAGAGCAGGGACCAAAACAGCCACCCTGGATGCTGGCAACCACACTTGATGCTGCTGAAAACAATAATACTAACAGCTGAGAACTGTGTGACATTCACTATATGCCAGGCGGTTTTAAACTCAGTAAACCTGAGGTGGGTGCTCTTCTGTTCCACAGAAGCAGCTAAGGCACAGTGGAGTTAAGCAGCTCACAGGTCACGCTGGCTAGTAAATGGCGCAGCTGAGAATCAGCTTCCAGCGGCACATACCAGGGCCCACTCTCAAAGACTACACAATACTCTTCCCAATCTTACTTCCTGGATGTGTTGCCCATCTGCACCTCTCAACAGACAACATCTGAAACTAAGTTTTCATTCTCCATGAGTGCTGTTGTTGTCACGCTAATAGCTGCAGAGTAGAAAACGTTTTAATTTGCATTTAGTTAACTGGGAGTGAGGTAACACACTTAACTAGCTATCTAGACTTGATTTTATCTCTTTTTCTACCTTCACAGTTGTCTTTTCCTTCTGATGTGTGGAGTTCAGTCATGCAGTCAGACCTTCATGCATGCATCCCTCTCCATCACACACTGCCAGCGTCTTCCTGGCATCTGTAGCCATCTTAATTTTGACATGACCTGCTCTGCTGCACAGAGAACCCTGCCTTATGCACCGGGCAAATCAGTTTGTGGTTTGAGTATGAGCTGTCTTCACACTGGGGTATAACCATCACTTGCTCCTACCAGATTTTATTATTACTTGTTGTTAGGGTCAAAGCCCAGGGGCCCCATATGAGCCATGCTCTAGCTTGACTGTACTACACTTCATTTGGGTCCTTAACTGCTTTAGTTGATATAAGGAAGGGATCCCACTTCATTTTTGTCCATATAATCTAATTTTCTGAGCCTCAGCAGCCACCTCCCCACTAACATGTAACACCACCTTATCACACACCATGTTCCAATATTCCTGAAGCTGGTGTACCACTAAATTCCAGAAGAATTATTTTACTCACACAGCTGGCTAAATTAATGAAAACTCCAATAACTCATTACTCCCAAGACCCCCAGAAGTTCAATATTAGCTGGAATTCTTTCCCAAGCAGAATACCCAGCTAGGAAATGATTACCAAAAAATAAAATGTGTTTATTTTTAAGAAGAGAAAGGAGAACACTGGCCAAGAACAAACCCTGGGATAAAGAAGTCACTGTGTCCTGCCAAAGCCGGCCAGACAGCAAGGGCACAGTGAAGGTTAGGTGCCTAGTCCAAAGGTCAGGCTGACAGCAAGTTGCTGGTCTGTGTCCATTAGCAAGAGTCCATTAGATCTGGATGTCCGGTTGTTCCATGCTACCACCACCACCACCACCACCACAGCAGCACAGAGCCTTGGAGGAGTTACATGTCCTCCACACTCCACTTATAGGCAAGCTCCTCCACAGCTTTCTTGCTGGCGAGCCTGGCAAAGCGCTTCTGTTCAAAGCCATTAGATCTGCAATCAAAAGAAAAGTTCTAGTCAGCCAAAACTCTGAAAGTTTATTTTAAGAGTGGAAAGGGGCTGAGCGGTGCTGATGCACACCCTGTAATCCCAGCACTCAGGAGGCAGTGGCAGGCAGAGCTCTGATTTCAAGGCCAACCTGGTCTACAGAGTTCCAAGACTGTCAGGGCTATACAGAGAAATCATGTCTCAAAAAAGCCCAAAAAACAAAAATAGAAAGTAAAGTTATTCATATGAAAATATTTAAACCATATGCTATAAAATCAAAGCAACAAAACACACAAATTATCCTCAGTAGTCCCTGTTCAGTCCTATTAGACAACTATCACACTCTTGGACAACTATTTCAAACCTTCATTATTCTCTACAAATGCTGGACATAGCTGGGCCTGTAATCCCAGATACTCCAAAGACTGAGAATGGAGAATCACAAATTCAAGGTCTGCACGGGCTTCAGAGTTAGTTCAAGGCCAGCCTGGACAAATTCATGAAAGTAAGAGATGTGACTCAGTGGTAGAGCCAGAGCCCTGCCAAACACATGCCTACTACAAGCCCATACACAGTACAAAGATTGAAGTACAACTCACATGGCCAACATCCATGGCTCCGTAATTTAACCATTGCTAAACATGTACTGAGTTCTCACTGGACATTAGGTGCTATGAAAGTCAGGGCAAGAAAAGGAGTGATACAGCATCTGTTCTGATAAACTCAGACAAATGGTACAGAAGACATGTAAATGATAACTAAGAAGCAAAAACCAAGGCTGAAGAAATGGCTCAGATGTTAAGAGCATTTGCTGCTCTTGCAGAACCAAAATTTGACCCCCAACACCACTGGATGCTCAGAACCATCTGTAACTCCAGCTCCAGGGAATCCAACACCCTCTTCTAGACTGCAGACACTGACACACAGGTACACATACACAGAGACAGACAGACACATACACATACATACACACACAGACTCACACTCACACTCTATACTGGGGCTGAAGAGATTGCTCAGCAGTTAAGAACACTGGAGTTCTTCAAGAGAACAGTATGTCAGCTCACAACCCTCTGTAACTCTAGTTCCAGGGAATCCAAAGCTGCTTCTGCCTTGCAGGTGGTTCAGACATGGAGGCAAAATACCCATAAAAACAAAGGTTAAATTTTAAAAAGAAGAAAGGAGAAAAAAAGAGAGAGAGAGAGAGAGAGAGGCTGTAGAGATGGCTTAGCAGTCAAGAGCACTGGCTGCTCTTCCAGGGACCCGGGTTCAATTCCCTGCACCCACATGGCAGCTCACAACTAACTAACTAACTAACTAACTAACTAACTAACTAACTAACTAGCTAGCTAACTAACTCCTTTCCAAGGGATCTGACACCCTCACATACACATTTAAGCAGGCAGAACACCAAAGTACATAAAATAAAAATAAATAAATCATTTAAAAATTTTTAAAATAAAACAAATCTTTAAAAAAGGAAAAACCAGGGGCTAGAGAAATGGCTTAGAGGTTAAGAACACTGGCTATTCCTTCCTAAAAGTCCTGAGTTCAATTCCCAGCAACCACACGGTGGCTCACAACCATCTACAGTGAGATCTGGTGTCCTCTTCTGGTGTGCTGTATAAATAATGAATAAATCTTTAAAAAAAAAAAAATACATTACAAATATGTGGAGTTAGGGGAGCAGAGAGATGTCTCAACCTTCTGCCCATGTACACTTTAGGTGTCTTAATCACAGTTCACACATGCAGGGCACACTCGCCTTCGAGGTGGCATCCTCACTTATCTGCTCTCAGGTTAGTAACTGGTGAGGTACACTGACCCCCCTCCTTTGGCTGTGACTACTGATTTTCTCTCTCATGTGGCCCCTGTGGCTGTCCCTACTTGGTATCACTGCCTTCATCACTGCTGTGTCACCTGCTGCACGGGTCACTGTGCTGGCTCTCCTACTGCACGTCCCTAGAGCTGTCTCTTTGACATGCAGTTGTCAGCCCATCTGTCCTGCGTGAATTTTTAAAATGATGTCCTAAGTTCTGATCCCTTTACACGGGAACAACTCTGAGAGAGTTAAAAAAAAAAAAAAAAAAAAAAAAAAAGTCTCTAGCTAGAACTTCAACAATACTTGGCCAATAAATCCTTGGCTATAATATCCTCAAAATGCATTATGCTAACCTTTTAATTGATATAGATTAAATTGGCTTATAGTTTAGTTTCATCCTGCACATCTCATACATTTATAATTTTAGAACGCTATAATGCTTGTGAGAAATATGTTTGCAGAACAAAAGAACTGGACACCAGAGTTGCTGGATCAAACCTAACAGAATCATTCTTCAGCATGCTGAGACATTGACACATCTGTTCCAGCATCTTGCATGTTCCAGCATTCTGCTTGTACCTGCCTCAACTTCTTCAACTGCTGTTTCTCATCAAAGCCTGCTCCCAAAAGAACTTTGAAGAAAGCTACTAATTTTAACTGATCCAGCATTTTAGACTGTTCCAAAAAGGACTTTTATTGAGCCTGAAATTTCTCAACATTCACATGTTATTGGACCACAAATGTTATTGCTTGCTTAATTAACCATTTTTTATTTGGGACCCCTACAGGATTTCTACATGTCCAAAATGTCAGCTAGAAGAAATCTATAAGAACAGCATCCAATTTCCTTAAAAGGGGTTGGGTATGTTTTTGGCTGTTTGCTATGGCTACGAAATTTTATTGTCATTGGGAGATGTTTATTATTAATGGTCTTATTCAAAATGAAACAAGGAATACATAGGGATATTTCATAGAAATAGAAAAAAAGGTAAATTATTAAATCTACTCAACTTAAGGTTTTATTTGTTATTCCCAAATAAGGTTAATTTTAACTCTGGTATAGGATTTTGCATATTGATGCAAAAATAAGTATTTTTAATACATTGGTATAAGCTTTACTATATTGATAGAAAGTCAAGGTTACTTCCAATACTTTTAAACTACTATTAAAAGGTAGTTAGGATATTAGGTATGCAAGTTAATTATTAGTTATTCAACTCATAGTCATGTCAGACACTAGTCTAATTTATCACAGGAGTATACATCCTAGGTTTAACATATTGACATGATTTTGTATACAAATCGATTACATAAAGATAGGTAGTCTTCAAAAACTTCAGAGACCTACAGAATATGGCATTTATTTTCTTATTATTTTAAAGATTCTTTGACAATGAGACAAATCATTTCCTGGCAGTACCCCACCTACCTGAAAGAAGATAATGAGCATGGAAGAACCTCCATATGGAGATGGCTTCAAATGTGGCAAACAAGCCACTTGGGTAAAGAAAATACCCTCGCTTCACAACAGACAAGTTCTGCCTAAAATGGGCAAGCTTAAATGCAGAACAAGTCGACTACCGAACTCTGCCAAGACAGGGTAAGCAAGTCCTAAATAGTTCCTGCTTCACGTATATGTCTGTCAAAATATTCTGAGCCAGAAGGCTGAGGATGATACTCCAACGTTATAGTTATGGGTGACTGTTCAGCAGCAAACTGTCTCTGTCAATTTTTATTTTTTGGAAGCTGCTAACATGCACTTCCTATTTACTCTCATAACTAATTTTATTTCTTCTCAAGTCTCTGATGGGGTTGAAGACCAAATAGTTACAGTACCACATTTAAGCTTAAGTTGTTTAGAAGTTAAGAAATCTTCTCATATAGGTAATACCAATAAGGATAAAAGTTAATTTAGGTATAGAACTTTAAACTTGTCAAGATAGATAGGATAATCAGATACTTTCTCCTAAGATACCCTCTCCATGTGCTAAATACACATGGACTGGACACTGCACATGTAGATTTTACCTAACAGTTTTCATAATTTCATAATTATTGTATTGAAAGAAAAGGAGCCTTTTATTGGACTTAAAGGGGGAAATGTTGGTATAATATTTTTTTTTAATGTATATACCTTACCCTTGTTCATTCAAATACTGATTTCTCCCCCTCCCCACCCCCAACTCTCTGGTTTCAATCCGGATATTGCATTGTGATACTCATTCTAAGCATCCTGTCTCAACTCTTGTGTAAACAGGACAAAAATAAAGCAACTAGACACAATGTTGAGCAGGGAGGAGCCAGAGGACAGGAAAGAGGGGAGGAGCCAAAAGGCAAGAGAGGAGGAGGAGGAGAAGGAGCGAAAGGAGAGTAAGGAGAGCAGAGCTGGAGGAGAGATCTTGCAGGACGTGGAGCATGAACCAGACCTAAGATTTCACAAAAAAAGCAAATATAATGTGGGAAATGTAAATGTTAGGAAACTGAGGGCTTAGAGGTTTAGGAGGGAGTAAATATTGCCCAGCATTGTGTTCTAGGTTTAACTAAAAACCCAGTCTCTGTGTGGTGATTTGGTTATACAGCTGTTTAAGATTAACAGCAAGCTTTACTAGAAGATAAACCAATAGTAAATATTAATAACCACTTACAACAACTAGGTCAGACAGAGTTCTAAGTCTGGGGTCCAAATAAATCGAAGAAACAAACAGCACAGCAGGCACTCTGTGGCAACATGCACAGGCATGGCTATACAAGATCTACCTGTGGCTATGCAGCAAGTGAGAGTCAGGAAACCCTCCTTCAAAGATACTGCAGTGTGAACAGCAAGACAGCAGCCAGCTAGCCTGTAATCACACCCCTTTTGTGTCTCTCTACCTCAGGAAGAATTGTAGTCAGATTCCACAAACAACCTGAGGGACTAAAGACAGTGCCTTAGGTCAGCATAAGGTGGGAAGTGGATTGTGACCCACAAACAGCGATTATAAAACCTGGACAAAATAAGTAGTGGTTGAAGGCATGGGTGAGGCGCAAAGGCAGGAAAAAGTCTGATAGGAGGGCAACCTCTCAGTCCACACAGTTCAAGGAGACCTGCACAGGTAAGACCACAAGCTGACTGGCTTGAGGTGTTAGTGGCAGTGGGAAAAGCAACTACAAAATTAAGACAAAATCCTGGGAGAGAGACACTGCAAAGCACATAAACCCCGGTTATCTACAGCAAACGTCACACCAAGCTCTGGTGAATCAGTATGCTTGTGCAGAGGACAAGCCCTGTCAGAGCGCAGAACCCAGAGGCAAGCCCTGAACTGAGGTGTTAGCTGCTGCCCTGCAGGGGAGACAGGGGTTCAATGTAGACTAAAACTCCACAGACAAAAATCAACAGAGAAATGCAGCAGGATCCAATCTCTACAGTGTGAAACTCACAAATAAAAGATCTAACAATTAACCAACAAGAAAATAACACATACTCAAAAAAAAAAAAAAAAAAAAAAAAAGGTTAGCCAGTTACAGTGTCACCCACATATAAATTCAACATTTGGGAGGCTGTAGCAAGAAAATCTGAGTTCAAGATCAGCCTGGGCTACATAGCCAGTTCTAAACCAGACTGGCCTACAGAGTAAGACCCTGTCTCAAAAAGAGATGGGAGGGAGGAAGGGAGGAACAGGTTATCAACAGAAACCAATTCTGTGATGAATAGAATGTTGCCATCGGCAGACAGGACTTTTTAAACCATTTATAGTTTCCAACAAAGAGAAAACTGTCTCTAAATGGTTGAGCAGATGAGAAAACTCATCACAGACATGCAAGTCATCAAATGGGAATTCTGAACTTAAATCAGCTAAAACAAAATACAACTGACAGAAAACAACTAAGATATCAGGACACAGGTTGTGTAAACTCTAAAACCACCTTAGCCTAACATATTCATAATGCACCATCATCCCAAGTGATTGCTGAATATATATCAAGTGTAACAGTGACAAGGTAGAATCAAAAGAATATGAAAATATTCTAAACAAAATCCATCATGTATTTCAAAGAACTTTCTCAATATACCTCCCAACTAATTTTCTGATGGTGTATAATAAAAACTTGTCAACATCTGGAAGGTCTGTAAAGCTCAGCAAACCTACATGTTACAAATGGCTAATATATGACTATAATACCATGCATGGGTAAAAGATGCAGAGTATAAAAAACACCCTGGCTACAGAGATGGCTCCGGGGTTAAAAGCACTGGCTTCTCTTCCAGAGGACCTGGGTTTCTCAACTGTTAACTCCAGTCTCAGGAGACCTGATGCCCTCTTCTGGCTGCCAAGCTACTTCCTGCACAGATGAACATTGTAGGCAATACACCCATTCATAAAAACAAAATTAAAGAAGGGGAAAAAAAGACCATGAATTATGCAAGCAGGTGGCACATGCCTTTAATCCTCGATCTTAGAAGGTAGATCTATCTCTATAAGGTCAAAGCCTGCTTGATCTATAGGGCCAGGATTACACAGAGATCCTGTCTCAAAGAAAAAAACAAAACAAAACAAAAAAACCAAAAATCCCCCCACAGATTATAAATTTTAGTGCAAAAATATCAAAAGTTCTTTACATGGCTTCAGATCCACATAACAGCCTCAAAGGAGCCAGCTTTTGTTCTTCGTAACACACGCTTTTTTGTTAGTGACATGGCAGGCTATATTTTCCTCCTACACTTCAGCTAAACACTTCACAATAGACAAATTCAGAACCCAGCTGTCTACTCTTAGGGCAGACATTAATGATATTTTGAAAAGTTAAATCAATTCTTTTTGGCTTGGAAAATAATAATTTTTTCATTAAAAATAATAATTATATTAGCATATAATGCTTTGTTATTCTATACAGTAAATAAATGTTTTAAAAATCTTTTAATTTTTAATATAGTGACCACCTAATCCTAACACCTAATCCACATAAACAAAAGCTTCTTGGGGTCCTCAATAATTTCTTCTAAATTACATTGTTTATACAGGTACACACATACACTCAAATGACAGTGTGGCGAGAACAATTTTCAAGAGACAGTTCTCTTCTACCACAAAGGTACCAAGACTTGAACTCACACCTTTAAGCTTGGCAGTAAGCACCTTTACCCACAGAGCCATCTCACTAGACAGAGTATAAAGGGGTCCTGAGAGTAAAACTTTGAAAATCATCATACTAGATCCTAGTGTTCCACGTGGGAAGGGGAGATGGGACTTGCGACTGACACTAGGCAGAAGCTATGCTGACAGTCAGGAGGCTCGAGTACACAAGTGAGACACTAGTAAGTAACCAGATGAGGCGGCAGGACTGCGACATGACCTGGGACTTCCTCCTAGGATAATGAACAGAACTAATGTTCAGGCACAACATAAAGAGAACATAGAGAAGGCTCTAGACTACAACCTTGTCCACCCTCTAACCCTTTGAAAATACTGCACATGACCAACGTTTGAAACAAAGTGTGTCCTCTCAGCTCCACTTGAGTTACTAGTCCTGATCTTTTCAAAGTATACAGAGAGGAAACAGGAGAAATATTCCAGACCTTAGAAACTTGTACCACAGGACCTGAAGCACACAAAGCGTACTATTTCCTTGTGACTGCAGGAGAGCGAAAACAAGTGCAGAGTGCTGATGGTTGTTTGCTGTGTATTACTGGCCCTCAAGATCTGCTTACACTTATCATTGTTTTGTAAACCTGTCTAAGACTATCTGATTGGTTGATTAAGCAGCCTATACCTGGGCAGGGCAGAATGGGGTAGGCATGGCTAAGGTTTCCCGGGCTTCAGGTTCAGGAGAGTCAAGGGAGACAGATGGACAAGAAGAAAGGAGGAAGAAGGACAGAGGATGTCATGATGAGTTAGCGTGGAGAAATAAACCATGTGGGCCAAAAGGAAGGACTCCAATAATGGCATGAAAAGACCCAGATGAAGAATACAAACAAGTACCAGGGGATTATGTATGAAAGGTAGATCAGATGAGAATGATTAAAGCAGATGGTGAAGTTATTTAGACAGCATAAGTAGGAATATCTGCCCAGCCCAAGGTAAATAAGGCAATTATAAAATCTATCAGAGGTCTGTGTCTTATTATTTGTGATGGCGGGTTAGATAATATCGCCGTGGTAATCTTGGGGCTGATAATTAACATTATATAGCCCAACACTCATTTTTATTTCCTACAACAGCAGAGGGATCTAAGAGAGTGGACAAAGCCAACTGTGGTTCTCATGTCTGTATTCCCAGTACTTAGGAGGTAGGAAAAGAATGACAAAAAAGGTTAAGGTCAGGCAGCAGAGAAAACAAAAATACAGGAAAGAGACCTACCTGTCTACTCCATCCCAGCGATATCCAGGCCAGATATTGAATCTATTGGGGGGAGGGGCAGGACCATTGTAGCGAGGCCTCACTAAAGACAGGAATGAGAAAAAGAAATTAGCTACTGACATGATTTAATACAGAGCTGGAAAGCAATGAGAGAAAATTCTTCATGAGAGTTCCTATGTTTTGACACTATCTTCTAAACACAAAGGTGCTATGGCCATGTGGGCAGCCTTCTCTGTGGGAAGCTATGCTGACAACTCTCTTCAATCTCACCTTTCTTATTCTTGTTCTCCTTAGCCTTTTTCTTCTTAATGAAGTTGGCCATTGGATCCCCCTCTCTTTCTTGTTCTCTCAGCATCTTATCCAGATCTTCATCATCAATATAGCGGGCCAGAGGCTTCTGCATCTCCTTCATTGCGTCCTCTATATTCTGTTGCTGCTGCCGGCTCTGGGCAAGCCTGGGCAAAAAAGAAGGACCTGGTTGAGAATTCCCTCCTACACTAAGAACTCACGATGCAGCCTGGAGAACTCCCTCTTTGTAGCAGCTGAGGATAACCAATCATATTAACAGCCCCAGAATCCCAACTGGTGGCATGAACCCACTATCTCTCAGGAGACTCCTCACCTGAGGCTCACCCCTTATCAGCTCCCAGAAGAGAAAGGCAATGGCTGGCTCTGATCCTTCAGTCTGGCTTTGTGCTCAGGGTGTCCTTACCCTTTCCCCCACTGGGCATATAGCTCATCTCGCTCTGAGTCCTTCTCTGCTTTTCTCCTCTGTTCCAATCGCTCCAGCTTCAAATTTCTCTTACGACCAGACTTGTCTCGAAACACAGTTTCAGCAAATTCAAACTGAGCTATAAAAAGAAATCACATTTTAACAATAAACACCAGGCATCACAATCAGAAATAATATTCCAGGACTCAAAGCCAACTGCTTGGGATCTTCTGGTAAACACTCTGCAGACAGACCAGCGTGGCTCCTACCAGCATATGCAGATCAGAAAGGAAAGAACTTGGACTACTGAGGTTAACGTGCTACACAAAAGCACAGCAGAGACGTAGAAGCAACGGAAAAAGTTTCAGCTAGTAGGCTGGAGAGATGGCTCAGCAGTTAAGAGCACTGGCTCCTCTTTCAGAGGTCCTGAGTTCAGTTCCCAGCAACGGTGGCTCACAACCATCTATAATGGGATCTGATGTTCTCTTCTGGCGTTAAGGTGTATTTGAAGGTAGAACATTCATATACATAGAATAAATTTTTTAAAAAAGTTGCAGCTAGCAAATACAACAGGCCACACCTAAAAACAGAAAAGAGAGGGAGAGCTACATGAACTGAAAGTGGGTCCTCTACGCTCACTTGTACCTCCAAGGGCTGCCATGTCTTGGTCATGTTTCTTGAATTCCTGGTACTCTCGCTGAACATCAGTGACCAATCCAGTTCTCGCTCCAGAATACATGTATGCAGCCTGTTCAAGAGAAGAGGAATACACGTGTGCAGCCTGGGCACGAGAAGAGGCAATACCAATACCATGAACCAGGAGGCAGCCAGTTGCATATGTCCCTGAGAGGCAGCAATAACCAAACCAAAACCCTAGTTTTATATTCTCATTACTGACCACAGGGCTGACAACATGGGGCAGGGCGACATCTAATCTCATGATAATCTATGACAGTGTCCCATACAGTTCGGGCTGACCTTGAACTCATTTATACACATTTTAAAAAAAAAAAAAAAAGTGAGCTTTGGAGAAGTGGGTTTCTTGTACAGCCTCACAGATACTAAGAAGTAAGATTTACAGCTATGGCTGGTTTCAGGGGGTTCTGTGTTCCCTGCTGCACACTGCAAGCTGTAAGCCTCAATTTATTATTAAGGAACAGGTGGTACCCACCTGCGTATCAATAGGTGGGAGGACGCAGGCAGATCAGAAGTTCAAAGCCAGCCTTGGAGTATTCCCAAAACAACAAAGAAAAGACAAGGGAGGCTTTCTGGAGATACTAGGATGAGACTGGTGGCATTACAAGGCTATGAAAGGCAGGAACCTCCTGGGAAATCTGGTACACACCAAGCACTCCTGATCCAAAACTAGAAATCCACAACAGTCCAAAACACACACCATTTTGAGCTCCATTTTGGTTCAGTATTTGCACAAACCTTCAAACCTTCAACACTCTGGGTCCCTAAGCCTCTGCTAGAGCCCAGCTCAGATGAGTCAGTGTCACCTTCAGAGAAAGTTCCAGAAGTGCTTCTAACTCAGATTTACTATGCTGCATCCTCACTCTTGACTGCAACCTCTGTGGTATCTATAAAGCTAGAAGGAGCCACTCTGATAAAGACAACTCCTGGAACTCTACCTTCTTCCTGGGACGGGGACTCCTTCGAGGTGGAGAGAGATCAGAATCGGAAGATTTGGTCCTCTGTCTTCTCCGGGGTGGAGAGAGGTCAGAGTCAAAGCTCTGGCGTCTCGGTCTATTCCGTGGTGGTGACAGATCTGAATCGGAGTCCTGGCGCCCTGAATTTTTTTTTTGCCGTGGAGGGGAAAGATCTGAATCAGAGGCTTTTTTTCTACCTATGTGGAAAAGAACAGTCAAAGTATAACTATGATGTTTCCTAGGTAAAGAGTTCGTATGAAACCTCCCATGGCTAAGAGAACCTAGGGATTAAAGAATGAATGAATGGGGATGGTTCAGTAGTAAAGTGCCTACTAAGTACGTCAGACCCTGGTTTTGGGTCTCCAGCTCAGGGGAGAGGAAGGAAGGATAAATTAATCTCCTTGGAAGAATGATTAAAAGAACTTAACAAGCTGGGATACAGTGTCTACTTGCCATCCTATGAAAAAAACATGACTAATCAAAACACAGGCCCAGGTGACACGAAGAAGAAAGGCAGGAGCTCTGTTTCCTGGCCACCAGTGTCTGGTAACTTTGCAAAGCTTTGTGAGATCTCAGACACTAGTCTATGCTGTGGTCTCCCACTGCCAACCTGTCCAGAAGTGGCAGAAGTTGGAGTTGGCCCTCTGCAGTGTGGCAGTCAGGAAGACCTCAAGTATACACTGATGTCCCATCAAGACTCAAGAATAACAACGGAATTTCATTTAAAATTAAGAGTAAAGAGTAGCTAGAACAAACGGAAGTAAAAACTTTCCTGCACAGACCTATTCTAGATGACAGTGCCACCATTCACCTCCTGAAAAGCAGCCAGACAGTGAGTACCAGGTGTGACAACAGTCACACACACTGGCCTAGTAAGTAACTGCTCAGCTTTCTAGGAACCTATCAATTAAATCCCCAGGAAAGCTAAGGTAAGAAACAACCCCCAGCTGTGCCAACAGTGTACCTATGGGATGACTATCAAACCTCTAAGAGCAAACCTGGAGAAAACTGTTAAGTGGAGGAGACAAGCAAGATTAACACGCTGCAGGAGTGCTCTGCAGTCTCGACTACACCCAACATGCATGCCAAAGCCACCCAAGGACACTGACTACAATACAGACAATGATGGTATGAATGACACAATTTTGTGACCCTTCTGTCTTTTCCTTTCTGTACATAAATACACTTTTATTTATTATTACTGTATGTGAGTGCAGGCATGCACATGTAGAGTCCAGAGGGCAATGTTCAGAAATTGGTTTTCTCCTTTCACTGCCCTGATGCAAAAAACGCTTTACTCCCTGAGCCATCTCACATGCCCCATCTGTGCCTTTTTATGGGTGGGAAAGCTAAGCAAAAGGACATAAAAACTTTCCTCCTGACCCTTTTATTTTCAACTCTCCTAAGCCTAGCCTCTCATTTTTCAAAAGAAGAAACTCATTCTCATGTTCACAGGATTAAGTTACTCTTGCGCACAGCCTTAAGCTCACCTTTAGAATCAAGCTGCTTCTTAGCTCCAATATGGGCTTTTGCTTGCCGTTTCCGTGGAGGAGAAAGGTCAGAGTCACGCTCATACTTGCTGTTCCTGGAGAGTGATGAGTGAGAGAGTCCCAGGCCCCTCTGGGACACAGTCTTGCTAGAAAGTGTTTCTGCAGCTTTACTACTTTTGGCTCTGGGCAGTTCCAAATCAGGGGAGTCATGACGGGCCTTCCTGAGATGCTGTGCATCTGAAGTTTCAAGAGTGCTCCTATGCTGGGCTGTGTCAAGGGAGTAGTTATGGGCCCTTCTCGAGGTAGAGGTATCTGAGGAACCATGATGGCCTCTCCTAGCAGACAGACCTGAAGAATTACGATGAGACTTTCTTCGGAGAGAAGCATCTGAGTCATGTTGGACCCTCCTTGGGGGAGATGGATCTGGGGTATCATGACGGGCCTTTCTCGGAGGAGATGGATCCGGGGTGTCATGACGAACCCTCCTGGGAGGAGATGGATCCGGGGTGTCATGACGAACCCTCCTGGGAGGAGATGGATCTGGGGTGTCATGACGAACTCTCCTGGGAGGAGATGGATCTTGGTCATCATGATGAAAATGTTCATCTTCACTGGGGCCTAAACACAAAAGCAGTTAGATTCCCACAATGTTCTCTGATCACATCTCACTCAGCTTAAAAACATACCCTAGAAGCACATATCTCTGAGCTACTTAAAGTCTACCGGCTCTTGTACTGAGGGGCAGCAAACCAGCATTCATAAACAATCTAAGAATAACTCCACTTATTTGCCTCCCAAGACCCCAGTGTGCAAAGCATTTTAAGCACACTTTTTCATAATATGCCCCATAGGAAGCAGGACAGGTGATTTTATTTAACAGACATGAAAACAAAGATTCTGGGAAATGAGGTGATTTCTCCCCTAAGGTCACAGCTACTAAGGAAAGGAGACATGCCTCCAACCCAGTTGTTTCACTCTCAATCCAATTCATTTTCCAGTGACCCCCCCATCTGTAGAACAGGCCCATTGGTTCCTGTTGCTAAGCAGCCTAGATCATTTACAGGTTTACTCTTTCAAAGGGCAGTGACTAAACCTGTAAACATCAAAATGAAATGTATTAAATATTTAATTCATTTCACGATACTCCTCAAGGGAGAAGTCAACAGGAAAAAAGAAAGGAAAGAAAAATTAACAATACATATTACTTAATTCTCACAATTCTAGGATGTAAATATCACTAATCCCACTTTATAGATGAAGTCACTGACATAAAGATTAAGCAGTTTGCCAAAGTTATACTGCCAATATGTGATGAAGTAAACATCTAAAGCCAAACTTCTATGACTCCAAAGTCCATGGGCAATCTGTGAAAACATGGCACTGAGGGGAAGCATGCTGTTTGAGAGCCCAGACTTTCAGAGGCAGAGCAGATAAAATGTTCTGGCAACTGGGCACTTCTAGATTCCACTTCTTTTTCTGTTTCTTACCATCAGAGCTCTATAGCCCAAATAAAAATAAAAGCTGGGTGGGATCTGATGGAGCTGATGAATTCTTATTAAGCAGATAATTCATGCCAGGTCAACTCTTTCACTATAGGGAACAGCCTATCTGACTGGACTGATGCCAGCGAAGAAATGCACAGTATATCTAACCCATAAGGCCAATAAATCCCAAGTATAAAAAGAAAGAAACAGCAGGGTGGATATTTCTAGTAAGAAATTGAAACAGAGTAGTATGAATGAGGCAAAAGAAAAAGGGCTGTTTGTGTGAATGTGCATTTGAGAGACTTCTTATACCTCAGACAGGGAAACAGACTCTCTAGATAAATTATTAGTGCACACCTACCCCCTCTCTCACACACAACTAATGCAAAAGACAGGAAAACAACCACAGGATAAGGTGCAAAATAATAAGTAAGACTGAAATGAATTCCAATAAAATAATCATGAGAGTAAAGCTTTATTTACGAAGATAAGTGACAAGGCGGCATACTAAAATCAGCTGAGGAAATGGCCACTGACATACAGTGCACTGGCGTTCCTATAGCACACCCTTTTCCATCGGAGCTGCACAGTAGTTGGCCTAATGGCACACAGGGTAATACAGAAAGACAAATCCCGCTTAGGAAACAATTCTTTCATCACCTCTGTAGAGAAATGAGCAAGCACCAGGAATATTTGATAATTAAATAGTTCTCAAGAAGTAAGACCCAAGAACAGTGGCCTGAACTATATATAGTGAGACCTTGTTTTTTTTTTAAAAAAAAAAAAAAAAAAAAGAAAGAAAAGAAAAACCAGAGGAAGAGAGAGCCTTGTTTGTGAGAAAGTCAGAACAGAGAAATATAGTTGCAAAACAAAGAAACAAAACTCTGGGCCCTGACCCTTGGGAGCTGCTTCATTCTGGAACAGTGGAGAGCCTGGGTCGCTAATGCGCTGACAAGTCAGCCTCTAACTTCCTGTGTCCTTCTTCTCAAGTCCTGACAACTTTTTCCCACCATATTTTTCATAATCAGTAACACAATGAAACAAACCACGAATTCCTCTAAAGCAAGGAAGCAGAAGGGACCTACCCTACATTTGTGTAGTTTTATCTGCTGCCGACACTCACCTCCCAGAAGCTTCCATTTGGCACTGGAGCGGAAGGCCTCCATCTGCTTTACCTCTTCTGGACGCTCATCCACAAACTCAGCTACCTGCAGAAATGGGGACACTACAGTAAGGGAAAAGCAGAATCCGCCCAAGGAGCACTTGGCCGGAGCCATAACCATTGCTGATCCTAACACCCACGTGTCCACACACCCATGTGGCTGTAAGGAAACATGAAGTGGTTCTCAGTTATTCTTATCCCATAAACATCTGTCACTGTGATGACTTAGTTGTAGACCTTTCTCTGACTAGTCAATCTCTCTCCAAAGATAAAATCTTTTACAAACCTTTTAGTAATCGTGCTGGCATACAACTGCCACCTGTAAATAAAAAGCTCAATTTCTTTTATATTTGTATTATTTCATACACAGTGAGAACACTGCCTTCATAACTAGACTATCACTAATCAAAGATTTTGGCCCTTATAAAACTTTTCCTGTGAGTAGTCACAATGATCGGTCTTGAATCCAGCAGAAGGAAGTTACTGGCCATACATCAAATTACACAACATTCAGGGACAACATCTAAACTTCCTAACCAATGATAAATGATCTCTCTGACGGAGAGCTCATCTTTCAAATCAGTCCACTGTTTTTTTTTTTTTGTTTTGTTTTGTTTTTTTGTTTTTTTTTTTTTTTGAAACAGGGTTTCTCTGTGTAGCCCTGGATGACCCAGAACTCACTCTGTAGCTCAGGCCAGCCTCGAACTCACAGAGATCCACCTGCCTCTGCCTCCTGGGTGCTGGGATTAAAGCCTTGTGCCACCACTGCCCGGCAGTCCACTGTATTTTTGAACAGTGTTAGAACATTCTTAATTTTATGGGACCCACATCTACCCTCATGTAACTTCTTTTCCTCCATACTAACTCTGACCACTGGCCCATTTCCACATAAGAGACCTTCAAAGTAGCTGGTTTAATAAATTGTAGTTACAGAGAACAGCTATGCAAGACACTGTTTCACAATTATTTTATTCAAGTCTTACCATAATCCTTCCAAAAAAGACCCAAGGCCACCATCCAGCAAACTTTGCCTTGGAGAAATTAAATGATGCTCAACATCACAGACTAGCAAATTGTTATAGGGTAATTCAAATCCAGGGCATAGATTCTCTGCACTACCTCTGTTCCCCAGTGCTACCATCATTCCTCATAAAACCTCCAGCTCTGTCTCTGGGCATTGAAAGCATGGCTTAAACATAGGATGAGGGCTGGAGAGATGACTCAGAGGTTAGGAGCACTGGCTGTTTTTCCAGAGGTCCTGAGTTCAATTCCCAGCAACTACATGGTGGCTCACAACCATCTACAATGAGATCTGGTGTGCAAGGCACACACAGATAGAACATTGTATTCATAATAAATAAATCTTTAAAAAAATGTAGGATGAACTGAGATCTGATCATTAGTTGTGTCACATAGCCTTGGTGTGGCCTTCTGCAAAGCATCTCAAACCTCAGCAGGGTGCAAAGGACTGCTCTGACGACTAAATGTTATCCTTTGTGTTCTCTTAGCAGTGCTTGGTAGATGGTTGGTGCTCAATAACCAGGTCTATCAGTCATTCTTAAGTGCAGAAACTGCTTGTTTCTCCTCGTGATCATATGACTGATTTTCACTGCCCATAATGAGACTACCATAACAAACAGTGCTAGCCTGGAAGATCAAAATCCAAAACTATTTCTGCCAAAAATGTATCATGTCCCCGCCACTGCACAGTCAAAACATTAAGTTGGGACCATTTGTATAAGCGCCATGGACAGAAACAGTGTAAAACATCTCTTAAAATGTCACCTCTCCCCTTGCTCAGCTTTCTCCCCACAGCTCTATCCGACACTGGAAGTCAAGGCTGACAAACATGGATCATTTCAAAGTCCTGACAGAACTCTCCACAAGATACATACCACAGGCAAATCTCCATCCTCTTCCTCCTCCTTTTCTGGCCTAGTGGTAGAGATAGCCGACCAGCCCACATCATCATCAACAATACGCATTCTAGATAGGAACAACAAAAGGCTCAGAAAGGAACTCATTCTGGGACACAAGCCAATATACATTTACTTACTGTTCTTTTTATTTACTTCTTGTGTGTGTGTGTGTGATGGTACATATATGTGCTACAGCATGCATATGGAGGTCAGAGGACAACCTGCAGGAGTTAGTTCTCTCCGTCCGCCATGTGGGTCCGGGGGATTGAACACAGGTTGTCAAGCTTGTTGTCAACTGCAGACCTATCTCATCAGCCCCCTACTGGGTTTTAAAGTTCAAAAGTATGGTTCAGTCTTTGTCTATTGAACTGTTACTGTCAATTCACTCCATTACTGTGCATCTTCTAGCATTATCAGTTTTCACAAATGCCTCCTCTGGGCTGGGATTATAAACATCCTGCTGAGTAAGGCATTTTTTGTTCATCAAGGCCTCTTCAATGCAACCGTCAAAGGAGAAAGTCAGCCCTCCATACCCAAGGATTCTACAACTGCAAATTCAACCACCCACAGATTAAAAATACTTGGGGGGGGGGGCGGGGAAGAAAATCACCAATGTATTAAATAGATACAGATTTTCTTGGGTTACAATGCCCTAAATAATATAACTACTGGAATACCATCTAAGTTGTAGTGTGTTTTCTAAGTAACCAAGAGATGATTTAAATCCTCTCAGGATGACTTAAAGAGGGTGTGAATGGTTTACATGCAAACAACAGTATCATTTTGTGCAGGACGTTAAGTACCTTCAGACTCCAGGAACCAGTCCCCAATTACTAAAAGATGATGGCATCCAATAATTGTGTGTCACACAGATGAACTGTGCTGCAAAAAAGGTATTTGAAAAGCCTGGAAGACCTGATACATCTTTAATCACAACAACCATTTCAGACAAGTAGTAGTGTTCAGGATCACATTGTTTTAACAACTAGAAAATGAGTCTCAGAGAGATGAACTCTCTTGCCCTAAACCACCCAGGCTATAAAGTAGCACAGCTAGGATTCATATTCTATCAGTATTGTTCCAAAGCTTAAACTTCTTTCCCTGCATGGCAAAGGCCCTTCTTACAAGGACATCAGCCACCTTAACTGAATACAGGCTCATCTTAACTGGTAATATCACAATGATTACATTATAAATGATGTCATGCTCAAGTTCCAAATGAAGATAAATTTGGGCAAAGGGAAAATTGACCCAGATCAATGGGCCTCAAAATTTTCTCAGTTGAGATGTGGGAATAATACTATTAGGTCATGACACTGTCCGCATAGAGGGGGTGAGCCACACTTTATATCCTTTCTAGTACTCTCTTTAAGCCGCTAAGCTCCTAGCAAGTAGCAGACCCAAGGCAGGGTGTAAGAATGGAATTAGCTTCCAGAGTTTAGACCTTGTGTCCAAAATAGTATCTTCAGTAAGCTGTTAAACTTGGGGCTGCTGCTCTAAAGTCTACAAATGCGTGTTTGTTCTGTGGGTGATGCTGGTTCTCCTATCCCAACCTTTCTAGATTCTGGCGAACAAGTCACTAAAGGATATTACATCAGAAATTTGTCTCTGCACATCTGTTTCGAACCTGGAAGTACATGGTCAAAGTTTTTAGAAAGAGGCCAGGCATATGATGTAAACTGTGCGCATGTTGGTTGCTACTGTTAGAGTAGATAAGAGTAACAGGACATGGGTCTTTGATTCCAGATCAGTTCCTGGTACTTTGGAGGCTCCAGGAATTGATCTTTTGGAGCCAAAAATAAATAAAAATAAAAATAGGCAAGCGCTGAGGCTCTGAATTAGCTCTACTAGTCTCGGGCAGAACTTTCAATCTGTACATGAGACCACGCAAGGCTACAAACGCGGGGGAAAGTGAGTTAAGTTCCAGCTGGCCTTAACACATGGAAGACGCTCCTCAGAGGATGAGGTCTGAGGCGCCCGGGGCGGTGGAGCGGCAGGACGGGGTCGACAACGCTCGCAGAGCCGCGCCGGGGCGGAGGGGAGGCTTGCGGCCTAGGGCGCAACCTAACAGCGCGACGCCCACTGGTCCACTCACCCCTTGCCGCCGGCGCCTCCCGGCTTCGGCCGTTTTTTGCGCCGCTTGCGACCAGCCTCTGAACCTCCTCCCACGCCGGCATCTGCCCCAGACAAGTAACGCTTCAGGTACTCAGCCTTGGAGAGCGTCGGAGCTGCCGCCATAACAGCGTCGAGGGCGGGACGACAACAGCTCGGCGCGTGGGACAGAATTCTTCAACGCGAAACGTATGGGGGCGGAGCCAAGAACGGAAGCCTTACTAAAGAGACTCAACGGAACTGCGGGGTTGATAGGTGTGATGGCTCTGAAAAACCGTTGGCAGGCTGAGGGCAGCGTGCCTGGATCTCGGCAGGTTCTGCTTTCCTGTGACGATGCATGAGTGCAACACGCTGCAGCCGGCAATGCCCCAGCCCAGAAGACACAGGGCGATCTAACAAGATCCTGCCCTGGCGGCTTCAGCGCCAGGGTAAGAAAGAACACCTGTATGAATGTAGGGCCCATCATAGGCGTACCACACAGCATTTTCATAATGGTTGCTGTGCTAAATGCCTAAGAGTGTCCGGTTTATTTGTTTATTTCAGTTATTTTATTGGCATAAATACCTTTTGGTGAACACTGCTGGAACAGGATTCCAGGAATCATTCACGGGACCCATCCCCAATATCTGTGACTGAAAATTTGATAGTTTCATCAAACCTGTATTGACTTTCTCAAGAAAATGGTATAAAATATTCCCAGTGAAAATAACATGGATGAGTTGTCAGTGTGGCAAAGAAAACAAAGTTAAGAAGAGTTAAAAGTGTTTTGTGACTCCTCACAATTCTGCTTTTTCTTTCATCCAGCACTTGGGACTGAGCTCAGGACCTTAAACGTAGTAGGCAAGAACTCCACAGCATTTCTACATCCCCTGCCCCTTTTGATCTTTTACTAAGTTGCCCAGGCTGCCCCTGATTTTGTTACCCTTCTGCCCCAGCCTCCAAAGTAGCTACTCTGCACACTGTGGGCTAGCCTTCAGTTTCATTAGTCTTTTTTTTTTTTTTTTAGGAGGGGGAGGTGTGAGTGGGTATTGTGGATATAAACATATTTGTTTTAATCCCAGGTGTGGATGTGGGACTGATTCAGATAGTCCACAGCAGCGAACTATTTGCCTCATGAGGGCTCTGAGAGGAACTCTTCGCCAGCTGCCAATGAGTACCCTAGAGAGGAAATAAATGCCAGAGCCCACAGTGTAGGGAAGCTCGGAGAAAGAACCCTGCTGCTTTCCCCCTGTGGCTTCTGATTGCTGCTGTTACAGTTGAGACAAGAAGTTGGAGGACTCCACCCTAACCAGCAGGAAGCAGCTAAGAGAACTGTGCCCCCTCTCCCACCAACTCTCTCTTTCTCCCACCTGGTGTTGGGAGGGATTGGAGTAGGGAAAAAAAAGAGATGTAAGAAATGTAAATAAAAGTTTTTTAAAAGTATGCCATCGGTGGGGGTGGGAGGTATTGGGTTTTTCGAGACAGGGTTTCTCTGTGTAGCCCTAGCTGTCCTGGAACTCACTTTGTGGACCAGGCTGGCCTCAAACTCACAGAAATCGACCTGCCTCCCAAGTGGTGGGATTAAATGTGTGCACCACCATGCCCAAGTATTAGCCTTCTTTGTAGATGATAAGTCTGGAGAAGTACAGGAACTCACTCATCTTCATACTGCCAGATTCTGATTTTTGCTAGCAGAGGCCAACCAAGTTTTGTGAAAGAGATTATCCAGTTTAGTCTTTGTTGTTTCAAGACAGGGTTTCTCTTTGTAGCCTTGGCTGTCCTGGAACCTGCTCTGTAGACCAGACTAACCTCAAACTCAGATCCACTTGCCTCTGCTGGAATGAAAGGTATGTGACACCATGCTTCCCCAACTAGACTTTAAGCTGCATGAAAACAAATTCCACACAGGTGTGCCTGGCTCAGAGCAGACAAGCATAGTCTGTTGGAATGAATGAAATGCGACCTCTGACTGCCCAGTGACAGTAGCCACCTAAAGTTTTTTTTTTTTAACCAATTTTTTTTTTTTTTTTTTTTTTTTTTGAAGATGGAATTTCATTACATGGCCCAAGCTACCCTGAGTCACCTGAGTGCTGGGATTATAGGCATAACCTCCCATGCCCAGTTCAGGCCAAAGGTGCTAACAACATGATACTCAGGTAAGGACACAAACGCAGAGGCAGGTTTTGTTTAAAATCCATCACTTTAATGTAAGCTTCTTCACCTAGGCTCACTAAGCCCCTCAGATGTTCTTTCCTGCTGCAACTTGGTATTTCACTCTCTCAAACTTCAGAGGTCCAGCACTGGAGGGCAGGGAGCTCACAGGCAAAAGGTGACGGCAGACCACACAGTGTTTCTGAGGTTCTTCTCACACTGACTTAAAACCTCCAAAAGAAGGTCAAGGAGCACAGTAGGCCTGCAGCTGCATCGCCAGCTGCTCACCTCACGTGCTTAGATTTCTAGCTCAAGCGGTTTCTTCCTCACCATGGGCAAGGACTTGGATGCGCATTGTTTTCCAATAGTAATAAATAACCCTGCGGTGTGAGTGGCACTGGAGCTCGCCTGTGAGCTGCCCACTGCTACCGCTGTGGGGCTGGGCCTGCTTCATAGCCCTCTGTCTTCATGTCATTGAGACCAAGCTCCTCATTTTGGTCAAAGGTGCGCTTGTACCGCTCTACCTGCATCTCCGGATCATCTTCAGGGGCATACACATTCTGCAAGGCCAAGGGCACACAATCAGTGCCTGTGCAACCCACTATTCTCCTCCCACAGGTGATACTAACTCTCAAGTTTCTAAGAATTCCACAGGATTTGTAGGCCCTCTAAGTGCCCATGACTACATAGTCTGTGAGTGTGTGTGTGTGTGTGTATGTATGTGTGTATATGCATAGAGTGCCCATGACTACATAGTCTGCAAGTGTGTGTGTGTATGTGTGTATATGCATATGTGTACACATTAGTATCAAACCCAAGACCCTATACATGGTATACAACTGTTTAATCAATTACTTGCATCCTCAGTTTTACACATTTTTATATATGGGCCTTCTTATAAAAACTGTAGCCAAAGCTGGTGATTGCTTATAATCCCAGCACTCTGGAATCTGAGGCAGGAAGAGTAAAAGTTTAAAGCCAGGCTACATAACAAAGTCTCGTCTCAAAAAAAATAAAAAGAGGGTGGAGGAAAAAGAGAGAGCGAGTACAGCAATGGTCTTAATCATGTAAATAACTTGGGCCAGTTTGCCAGACCCACTGGTATTCAGTAATGCTAAAGTAAGGATGGGGCCCCGGGTTCAAACCCAACACCACAATCAAAAACAATATACTGCTGCAGTTATATCAACTCCCAATCAGCTTAACACCTCTCAGCCTTCCTGTCCTACCGCTACACAGGTCTCTCTTGCTCCTTACTTCACAGAGATGCAGACCAGAAAGCTGAGGATAAACAAGAGCAAGACACCAGACACAGGGAGAAAAGATCTTACTCTCTTATTTATTCGCTTTTGAACGTAGGGCTTTGCACATGCTAGCCAGGTAGGCACTTACTCTGGGCTCTTTTATTCACTTTTTTTTTTTCTTTAATCTTGAGACAGAGTCTCACTAAATTGCCTGGTCTTGAACTTGCGATCCTCATGGCTTCCCAAGTACCTGAGATTGCAGACCTGCATTAGGTCTGTCCTATTTACCTTTGGTTTCACACACTAGTAATCCCCTCTACCCCCACCTTTCCCTTTCCTCCTTATTTTCCAAAGTCCCAGTCGAAGACTTAGAAGCCAAGCTATCATACAAATTCTATAAAGATCAGAAAATGCATCTCCACAGAACAATCAGAAAGGCCTACCATACCTGCAAGTAGCTGTTTCCTGCTGGATCATTCATGATAAAGTGGGCCTTCATCTTGCCCTCAATGATCTACAAGAGAGAGGACACAGCAGGTAACTCTTACAAAGATCCTGGAAGGAAGACCCTATTACTGCCAGAAAAGAGCCAATCCAGTTTATAAGGTGTAGTTCCCAAAAGCTTAAATACGGACGTTAGGATTACAAAAAGGCCCATGTCCTCTTACCTGGTCCAACTTCTGGCTAAAATCCTGCAGTTTCTCTGACTGATCAGGATTTGAGCTATCACCCAGTGTGAATGGGTTCTTGGTTACCTGCAGCACAGGACAGCTGAATTACTACCTGGCCAAACTACGCTTTCTCTTTCTCAGTCCAACTGCTAACAGAAGTTGTATGTCACACTCTGCACTCACCAGTTCTCGGATATCTTTCAGCAGCCCTTCTAGAGTGGTGAACTTGCCCCCAAGGACAGCCATTCCCAGTTCAAACTCCAGCTCTGGGATTTCCACACTACAGGTCTCAGACTATAAGATAATAGGTCAAATTAAGGTTCAAATAGCTTCATACAAGAGTCCTTGTCTAGTATTACAGAGGCCCCAGGTTTGACCCATAACACCAAACAGATGGACAGACATACAGAGAGACAAACTGAATTAAATCTGGAACAAAAAAAGCAAATCCGAACAGTTTGAGGACAAAGTCAGAATACTAGTTTCCTCTGAATATCTGGCTAAATGCCAGGAATCAGAACAGGAAAATAGCATACTAAACTGGAACTGAGTCACAGCTGCAAGCTATCAGCTACCTTGTCATTAGGGCCACAGAAGAGCCCATTATAGTCAATGGAAACTAAAAAGCAGCCACACCATGGCTCAGAAAAATTATGAGCCACCTTCTGAGTCTATAGTTCCAACCATGGGGAAAAAACCCTACTCGGGGCCACTCAAGGCCAGGGGAGTTACAGGGTTCCTTGCAATCTGAAACACTAAAATGCTAACTTCCTCTAGAGAGAAGCAGCTGTCTGGGCACAGCTCTCCCCTAAGCAGGCTGTTACCTTGAGAAGGTCTCGGGTCATGTCTGAGGGATCTGTGATTCGGAGGGTAATCCTAGTACCCAAGGGCTCCACCGCTCCTCCGGACTTGACCTGTAGAGATGATGATCAGGAGCAGCACCAGGGAAGACCCCAAGCTTCACTTGGTGCCAGACCTCAGCTTTATGTAGGCTTCCACTAACAACCTGCACTGGTAACCTTCTAATACAGCAAGGGCAGCAGTGACCAAAACAAAAAACACCAAGAGTCCATAGGAATGCTGTCCCCAGCCCTGGTAGCATGCCAAAATTAGCCTGAAACCCTGAATGCACCTTAAAAAATAAAAATAAAAAACAACACAACAACAACAAAAAAAAAAAAAAAAACCCTGACTATTGAGTGTTCAAAGAGACAAGCATTTCAGTCATCAATGCATTCACTGTAGTCTAAGAATTCAATCAGGGCTAGGATGTAGCTCACTAACAGTGAACTTGCTTAGTATGTATGAGACCCAGGTTTACTGTCTATTGTTTCTCCCACCAAAAGTAACTTTAAACAGCTTATGGGCAATACACTTGGGGAAGGAGGGCTTAAAACCTCCACAGTAGCCATCAAATTCCAGACAGCTCTCTTAAGTTCTTAAGAGTTGCAATCTGCCCAACTTCCAGCCCTCTGAGTAGTCAGCCGGCTTTTCATCCATCTTGCAATCTTCCAACTTTTCCTCTCTAGGCTAATTCTCAACTCCTTCAACAGTTCCTCCCCCACACTAAGCCCCCAAAGGACCAAATTACAGCCACACCCATCCTGAAGTAGATCTAGAAAGCAGGCATCTTCTTCCCCAGCAATGGAGCCCACCCACCTCATTAGTACGATGCCCACAATTCTCGCAGTTGGTAGCCATGATGATAACCTCTTTAAAGTGGGGGATTTCTGGAAGATGGAGTTAAAGAAGTCTGCTTCCTGGAGCACAAGACCCCTCCCTCCTCTAGGAAAAAGAAAAGCCAACCCCCACACAAAGGGACTGCAAGTAAACACATCATGAGACAACCTAACTCCAGATTCTGTGTTCATAAACATTTGAAGACCTGGCCACACACAGAAGCCAAGGTATGAAGTACATCAAAGGTTCATCCTCATCACCGAGGTTAAAGCACTGGCGTTCCATGAAGGGAAGGCCCCCATCTTTAATATAATGTTCATGCCTGGGTCAGCTGAAGAGCAACCCAACTGCCTGATGAAAGATACGGACAAGCTTCATGTTGGTCTGGGCTGGGGCGTTGCACTCTGGACAGTTTGTGTTGAATTGGAGCACCTGGAACACAATATGGGGGCACAGACTAAGTATTCCCTCCCATTGAAACTGACCCATTCAAGCTGGAACACTGGTGGTCACCCATGTTAGGTGTGACAGTGAGACACTGGATGCCGTCAGTCTCAAGCCACAGCCCTGCTATGTCCTCAAAGAAAGCAGACGCCACTCACTTCATTTCTAAGGTCTTCCTCTTCCGACTTCTCTTCTGGTGCTTCTGCCTAAAAAAACAGAGGCACAAACCACAAGCTGGCAGGTGGACCTCAGCCTCCCCAATACCCTGGCCTGCTTAGAGAGGCAGACAATGCCTTTGTTCCATAAGGTGCCAACACACGGAACAGAGAGAGAAGCCAAAGCAAATCCCCAATCAAGGGAAGGACAGGGCTCAAGACTGGGTTCCTGTGATGCCACCGAAAACCCTAGTGTGAGTTTGATGAGCAGCTGCAATAGGGTGCACTAGGTCGTGGTGGCAGCAACAGCAAAGTAAATCTTTAGTGACTTCAAGCAGCCCAGAACACAGGACAATCCCAGCACGTGTCCCTGACTCCTACAGTGCACTCACTTGGAGACCCAGCATCTCAGCTTGCTGTGGGGTCCGGCTGTAGTGTGTGATCACCAAGGCATCATCTTTCTGGGGAGCATGTGGGTTTTCTACAAAGCTGTTTCCCGAGGGATCGTCAATGATCTAAAAGGTAAGTGAGGAGAGAGTGAAAGAACAAATCATATATAGTGATTATATGATCATCTCCATCCATCTCTAGACCACAGTACAAAGATCCTACTCAGTTTTTTGTATTTTGAGACTGGGTTTAAATGTAGCCCAGCCTGGCCTACAACTTGCTGTAGAAGAATTGTAATCAGAACATAGCTGCTCTGGCAAGGGATCACATCCAAAGACCTTCTAGGTTTGGCTAGAATACAAACATGCCTTTAATCCAGGAGACGGAGGCAAGTAGAGCTGCTTGCCTGTCAAGGCCAACCTGTTAAAGAGCAAGTTTCAGGTAAAGAAAAGCTTAGGTCCAGGCACAACAGTACATGCCTTTAATCCCAAACATGGAAGGTAAAGTTAGTTTGTAGAAGGAAGCACTCATGTTTGAAAGTGATGTCTAACTGAGTGGCAGAAAAAGTAGTAAATCAGAGAAAGACTTGATAGAATACGCCCAATTCTCATTAGAAGAGAGAGGAAAAGGAAGCTATTTATGGCATTAAGAGAAGGTAGTTTTACTGGGACAGTAATAGAAAGGCAGATTGCTGAAACAGAACTCAAGTGAAAACCAAATGAGAAGGAAAATGAGGAGCAAAGACATTAGAGCAGATTGAATAAGTCAGCTGGGAGAGGACTTTGAGCCAGAACCACTGAGTTGAACTAGCCAGCGCAGAACTCAGTAAGAACAAAAAAGGGTGAGTTTATTAAGCAGTAAGTCGCAGAGGCTGAAAACATTCTAGGCCTAGGTTACATTGTATGGAGGCTGGAGGTTTAAAGGACTAGGCCTAGGTTAGAAAAAGGCAGTAAGCCTCCCAGACTACTGAAACAGGCGAATAAAAGTTCTTTTTAGAACTTGCTATATAGGTCAAGGATGACCCCAAACTCTTGATCTTCTTGCCTTCACTTTCCAAGTTCTGGGTTCCAGGCATCAGTTAATCTCAATGGTCTCTCCCCTCCCTCCTTACATTGAAAGCAGCTGCAGCCGTTCAGTACCTACCAGCGTGAAAGGGGAAGCCGTCTGCTTTAGGTCCTTCAGTTTGCCAATGAACTCATCAATTCTTTCAGCTATGGCACCCTCCATGGCCTACCACAAACAGAATGAGAACACCAGATTTGGTAGTCTGACCGGACCTCCTGCTCCAACCCTCTCACGCCTATATCACTTCCATCAGATCACCAACATCAATCATACAGTTGGAGCTCAGGGACCTAAACTTCACAGTGAGATACAGCAGGCAAATCTGAAGTTTATGAATGATGCTGGGTAGGAAGCATCATTTTATTTTCTCAATCATTCTACCACTTAGCTATAATCCCAGTTCCATGGGGATCCATTGCTTTTGGCCTATAAAGGTATCTGTCATCACATACACATACTCATACACAGGCACATAACATATAATTAAAAATAAATTCCTTTAAAAATTCAAAATTCTGTTATGCCTCTCTAGCCAGTTAGGGCAATGATGAGTATATGTACCATTACATTATTTCTATAGTAATAAGTATAGATATAAAAGAATACCCAGGAAGTTGTTGATAACCCAAGGTAAGGTTAGACTGTCTAAGATGAAGCCTGAGCACACACTGGGTACAGAACATGGAGAAACAGTACCTTTATGTGCTCTGTCAAAAACGTCAACATTTGGCCAGACACAGTTCAGCCACATGCAAATCTGACTTCGTTTTGACACAAACAATTTGATAAAAATCCCTGCTCACCCGCCGTGTGGGTTGGTCCTGTTCCAGGCCAGAGATCGCGCGGCTGATCAGTCCTTCAACAGTGGTCAGAGCTTGTGAAGGAAACACAACATAAGTGAATGCTAGTTTGCTATCACACATCTGCACGATCCTCAGCGCTTTACCTGAATTCTGCGGGCCTTGCTTTCTTCACCTGAAAAGTTCTCAAATAAGCACATCTCGGTCTGTCTCACTGGGACTCTCAAGCGATTTTTTACCATAACCTTCTACTCACATTAAAGAATGAGAATCCACTAAGATTACATGGCCAAACACAAGCCACTAGGTGTGACCTGGCACCAGGCTTTGCAAGAAAATAGATTAACATTTCAGCAACGTGTGAACAGCTCACATACCTGATCTTAAAACTCACCTCCCTTCTGGCTGAAAGCTGGAATCTCAAAATCCAGCTCCGGGATCCTTGTGGTGGCCGAGTCTGTTTTCACCACTTCTCTGTTCAAGTCCTGGACAGAAAGGAAAACATTCTAGCAAAAGAGGCAGCAAGATGGCTTCTCCTTGGAAAATAACCGCACCATCTTTTTAGATGCCAGTCCAGATGTTTCTTCTTCCTGCCTTCCATTCAGAAGAGTCCAAATACTTCAGCATAGTACATACGGTGTGAACCAGACGATCCAGGTGAGACTACTACCCGTAAAGCCCTGCTCGCTCAAGCCATCGCTCTCACTAAATTCGTAAAGTACACTCAAAGCAGCTGGGCAGAGGCCAACACCACTAATACCACTGACAAAGAAAGGCACTAAACACTTGACCATAGACCCGATGAAGGCCCGGTGGCCCGGACCTGAGCTGTTGACTCTGTCCTCCACTGTTCTCTGAAACCGTGGGGTACCTTCTCTGAGATACGCTCACCTCTTGGCCCCTAACAGTCAAGGTGTAGCGCACTCCTTGGTCCTGGATCCTGCCTGCTGATTGGATCTCAGTGTTGTTCCAGCCACAGTGCTCGCAAGAAAAGGAGCTCACGATTATTTCTCTAAAGAAGGGGATCTTGGTGAGCAGAAGTCGCGTCGTGCCCTAAGGAAGCAGAAGCAGCGACGGGAAGAAGGACTTTAACGCGTCTGCACTCTGTACTTCAGAGCTGCCTCTGGGTGCCCGCCTAGATGGTCTCCCCCGCCCCAGACTCACGTTCCGGTAACAGTTCATGCACAGCGACTCGATCTCGGTGGGCTGCTGCTCCTCATCCTCGGCGCTGAGGGGCCGGAACAAAGGTCCGGTAGCTGGCGACCCAGTCGCAGCGGGCGAGGGCCCGACGGCAGCCCCCGGGGGCCCCGGCTGCACAGCCCCGCTAGCCGACATCACCCCACGCGCTGCCCGGCGGCAGCTTCCGGCTTCCGCTGCTCCCACGGCCTCACTTCCTTTAGCCACTGTTCCCGCCCCTTCTTAAAGAGGCCGCAGACTGTGTGTCTTTTGGGTAGTCTCTGACTTCCGGTTCCTAGCCTGCACTTCCGTAGCCAGCCAAGACTGTCCTGCAACTAGGATCCAAGCCAGTGCTTGGCTCCCTGGTTGTGGCTCCGCCATACGGGGAGACTAACTGTTGGTCCCTAAGTCTGTGTAAAATGCCCGAGGACAAGGGGACCGGCTTGCCTCCGAATCCCTTAGGCGGTTTCCTCCAAACTGTTCTTTCTTAATGACGAGCCAGACTTTGCCTGCGTTCCCTCTCCTGATAGCTCAGCTTCTCTCCTCCTTCCCTTTCTGCTCTCCAGTTTCCCGTTTCTATCCTTTCAGCAGCGCCCCTAATTCTAACCTTAAATACAGCCTTTATTTTTACTGCCTGTCATCCCCACCGCATTCACTTTTTTATCTCCCCCTATTTCCTAACAAAACACCATGCTTTATCGGTTTCTTTGAAGTTTTCTTTCTAGCGCTTCCTCTCCACGTCTTGGACCACAACATAGTTCCTTGGCTGAAAATGGCTACATCTATGATATCAGGGATGACAAGTGTGTGGTCACACGGAGCTCAGCTTCATATAGGGTCTGTGGTGGGGAGGGTCAAGAATCGTGCGCAGAGCAGACTGTAGCAGGCTGAGCTGGGAAGAAAAGGTGCTGGGTGGAGCAGAGATGTATATAGTGAAGGGTTTTGCTTTCCTTTTTGCCCACCTCATCCAGTCTTACTGGTCCCAGGTGATCTCTGATACTGAGTGTGTATACAAAAGAGGAAAGTTACGAGCTTTTAGGTCTCCAGGCATGGTGATTTATGCTGTTAATCCCAGCACTTAGGAGGCAGAGGCAGACTAACCTGATCTACATAGTGTGTTCTGGGCCAGCAAAGGCTACATAAGTGAGACCTGGGGAGGGAGAGAGAGAGAGAGAGAGAGAGAGAGAGAGAGAGAGAGAGAGTTGATGGGTCCCAAGAAGAGAATCAAGAAGGCATGAGGAGTCTGGAACACCAGGATTGAGAGGGTCCCTCGGGGATTTCAGGTAACTAGTGGACAGCAGGAATTCCATGCACACTGTCCTATGATGAGTAGACTATGGAACAAGACAGGTGCAGAGCTAGGGTCTGCAAACCAGCCTCCCCACCCGCCAAGTGTGACAGCAATTGTCTAGCCAGGCAAAACCCACCTAGAGCGGACCCCTCTGACAGACCATGAATGGAAAAGAAACAATGAAAAAGAGCAAGCAAGGGGTAAGAGTGGATGGTGGCTGTGTCCTGGAGGGCAGTGGGAAAGCAGTTGATCTCAGACATGGCCCAATGAGAGTCACAGCAGGCCAACAAATTTCCATTATGGGCATCTATTTCATTTCAACCAAAAGTCAGTTTCACCCCGAGAGTCAGGAGGTGAGGACCGAAGATGAGGAGGACACACAGTTTGCTCCCTACAGGGTTTTAGAAGCCCTCACAGTGTAGACAGCTCAGTTCCTTATTTGGGTTCAGAGTTATCTAAGGAAATAGGGGCTCTGCCCCCTTCCATCTCTGACCCACCAGCAGCACGACTGGTAGGGATGCACACACACCATGCGCTCTGCATCACATTCTCCTCCTGCTCTCTTCCAACAAAAACGCACAGCAGCCCTGGGGAAGCACGTGAGCTCTGCAGATCCGCTGTAACAGTGACCATCGGGCAGGGAAGAAGTAACAGGAGCCAAAATCCAGGGTGAATCACCACAGGCTTCCAGCACCGTGGTGGCTTGCAGACAGTCCCTCTCCCCCACACCCCCACCCACTATCTCCCCACTCCCTTCACATGGAATGTTGAAACAGATGAGCACCAGAAGCTGGAGTCCCAAAACCTAGTGAGTGTAAAGCAAGTGAGTGGGGAAACTGAGGAGTCTGAATAGGCTGAGCCAGCAGTCCCTTTGGTGGCCTCACATATACTGTGCAGGACCCTTCACCCTCTCTGCCCAATAGGCAGGGATTCCCACAGTGAGCTGAGGAGTGAACCTGAGTGACCCTCAGGGCTCCCTCAGATGACTATGGCCTTGGTCGTGGAGGCTGTAGGCGATGTCTTCCCACAGATCATCCAGCCGGCTCTGCAGTCTGCTCAGGGCCTTATTACTGTCCGAGTGTCCCAACTCCGGAGCAAAGGCACTGTGGCTAGGCGGGGGTGGTGCTAGCTGTTGCTGGATTTCCTCTGTCTCCTGATCAATGGCCTGAGTGAATGCAGCGATCTGCAGGAAGGTGTCATGCCGAAAAGCCTGGAGTCTTTGGCGTACCTCCTCCGAGAGAGCCTGAGGGTCCGGGGAGTCCCTGTCCTCTGCCCCATCTGCGCTGACGCGGATGAAGGCACTGAGCTCCTCGCGCAGCTGGTCCAGGTTGCGTTGGATGCTGGTGTGCAGGTCCTTTGCCTTACGCGTGAGTTTGTGGGACAGGTTCTGCACGCAGCGACTGAGTCGCGCGGGGCTGGCAGCTGCGTGAGGAGCGACACTGCGGTGCAGCTCCTGCACGTGCTGCCCAATGCCGGTCACCAAGCGTTCTGCGTAAGGGTGGAAGAGCTCTTTGACCCGGTCTGTGTGGTTCAGCACCCGTCTTTGCATTTCCTGCAGCAGGCTCAGCGCCTCATCCACGCCCCCCAGCAGCTGGGCCTTGGTGTCTTCTCCCACTGTGCGTAGCCGCTCTTGCAGCTCCTGCACGCTCAGGCCCACCTGCTCCATCAGCTCGGCCGTGTAGGGCTTCAGCTGCTGCTTCAGGCCCTCCAAGTTCCAGCCTACCAGCTGGTGCTTCGCAGCCATGTAGGGCTCCAGGCGGGCGCTCACCTCCCCCAGCTCCTGCTGCAGCTGCTTCCGAATGCTTTCTGGATCCTGTGCCAGGCGGGGAGGCTCCTTTCCTGACCCGCTCAAGGGACCCAACTTTTCTAGGAGATTGTTCGTGTTGTAGAGGTCTTGCTCAAAGCTATCCTTTAGGCTCCTGGAGAAGGAAAAAGAACCAGGCCATTAGACGGCTAGCCCCGAACATCTCCCTTGCCCCGAAGCTCTGGGACACCAATACTCTACAGAAACCTAGACAGGAGGGGTGACGCCAGAGCCAGGGTCTTTAGACCTGACCCCAGCCAACCACATCCTCACATCCAGAGTACAAAATGGCATTGTGTGGGCAGTTCAGCCCTACACCACCATCCAAGAAGGTGTCACACACATGCCAAGATTCACACCATGCCTGCTAATTTCAGGTGCCATACCTCAGTGGAAAAGGGAGCAGCAGGGTAGGAGAGACTTGGGCAGAGGGTGACCAAGATGACTGGGGTGTGTTTGGCAGTGCATGCATGACTGGCTCCCTCAGCTTCCATGTTAACCACAGAGCTGAAGAATTATCCCACATCAGGGCTGTCTCACACCCTCAAGGCACCCTCGCCCAGGCCACTCACTCCCGTGCCAGCTTCTGCTGCTGGCCCATCAAGCCTTTGCCCCGGCTGCTCTGGCTGAAGTAGTCCCAGAAACTCTTCCGTGCCTGAGTGGTCGCAAACACTACAGAAAAAGATGAGACAACAATTAAGGGCCAGGCTCCTCAATCCAACCTCCATCTCAAGCCCGTGCTGGAGTCGGATGGAAGACCCACCTGAGAGAAGGGCAAGGGCCCAAGTGATGACCGCAGCCATGCTTTCCACGATGCACCCTGAGAAGAGAGGTGGGCAGAGGCTTGATCAGGAGGAGAGGCAAAGGAACAGACTGGATCTAGGAGGCCTGCTCTAGGGGCTGCCGGTCCCAAATCCTGATAACCCTTCCCCACTGTGTAGGTAACATCATGTTGAAGGCTCCGGAGAACTTAACTAGGTACTTATGGAGTGGGGGTGAGCCTGGAGCTGGGGGGGAAGAGCTATCTTTCTCAGACAGGAGGAGTGGATTGTTCCTTACCTCAGTCACAAAGTGGAGAGCCTGGAACTCAGGCTGCACTACAGAGATTACCCATCCACCTCCATGCAGTCTAACTCCCTTGCTTGTCTGTCTTCCGACCTCCAACCCCAGTTTTTGGGTAAGAAGCTGGCATACATAACATGGCAAGCACCCTGTTAGCCACATCTGCAGCTCTCTCCTACAGTTGCAGCCACCCCTCCCCCTACCTGTGTCCTGAAGGCTCACCTGCTCAGTTCTGGCCACAGAGAGCAGACATTCGGCTTTTATACTCCAGGAGCCTGGTACTCTTGAAAACAGTTGCTCTGAGCAAACACCACGTGGAGGGTCAAAGAAGGATGACCCCAGCTGGCTACTAGCCTTCCTTTTTTCTCTTCTCCTGGTGCTGTGGGGGTCAATAGGCTCCCCAGCCTCAGGAGGCTGCCCTGGTTGAAAAGTGGCCTCCTGAGCCCTTGCTAAGAGTTGGCAGAGCTCACCTCCCAAATCCTGTGACCTCCAACCACCCCACTTACTTGCTGACTGGCTTGCCAACAGGCACCACTTGTTTGTCTGCTGAAGGCCCTGCTCTTACTCAACTCCCCAGCACGCTCTGCACTAGCCAGTCAGTCAGAGGAACTGTGTCCAGGATCAGCTAGACCTGGGCTGGCCTTACCTGCTCCACTATGGTCACTGTGACAGACTGCGAAGAGCCAGCATTTGCAGGGTTACAGGCCCTCCTGTCTCTCCATTTGAGAAATGATCCTGAATTGAGCTGGAGAAACAGGTCCAGCTGAAGATGGGTGGGTAGGCTGCATGTGGGTCAGGAACTCCGGGTGTCAGGGGTTAGTCCCCTCAGGCCTCTTCCCCCACAGGGAAGGCTGGGCTCCACCCTGCTCTTCTGAGGAGGGGAAGCCTGGAAGCCTAGAGTTTTCTCTTACGACAAGCTTGCTCCATGTGCTTGCACATACGTACCTGAGTGCTTCATCTTTACTCCTAAATGCTCCCAATCTTCCATTAGTCCCCTTGCCAACACTGTCACAGTTGCTTCTCTGCTTGCTTGAGTTCAGAGCCTTCTGCAGCCACAGTTCCGCTTCTTCGTCCACCCTTCACTGTGACCTAATTCAGCCTTTCTCTCCACACAAAACCTTGGCCATTCCATGAGCCACTTACCTCTCAGGCCATCCATATGCTGGGCATGGGGATGTATGCCTATAATGACAGCACTGGGAAGGCTGAGGCAGGAGGGTTATAAGTTTGAGGCCAGCCTGGGCCACAGCACAAGGCCCTATCTCAAAAAGCAAATTTAAAAAAAGAAAAAGAAGTGGCAGAAATTACCACCCAGCCCCAGCCCTCGAGTCATTAAAGAGGATGTAAGTCAGTTGACAGAGTACTTACCTAGCATACACAATGCCCAGATACTGATCACCAGCCCTGCATTAAACAGTATGGTGGCACATGCCTGGATCCTGAGACAGGGAAATTGCAGAAACATGAGGGGGACAAGAACTCATTCTAGAATCTGAATGGAGCCTCTCACATAAGCAAAAATACCTACACAATTACCATTTGCTATCTGTTAAGTTCCAAACCCCAGACAAATGGCTGAGGTGCCTAGTTAACCTGTCAAAGTGGATATGGCTGCCAACTCTCCCTGAATCCCTCAGTTCAGACCTGTTACAATGCCCCCCCCCTGGCTGGCATACCCTGCTCCCTACCCTAAACTTTTCCAGCCCAGGGACCTGGGCTACTCTTCCCTATATAACCCAGCCATTGTGGTTACCTGTGCTCTCTTTGTGCCTTTGGGCCTCCTGGCTGCTACAACTGGTTCTCCTTTCTCTCCTCTCCCTTCCCCTCCCTGCTCTTCCCACATGGCCCACCTCAGTCTGGTCCTGTCCACTCTGGAGTCTCCCAGATGTCTTTGTTTCTGGCTCTGCTCTCCCACTTAATTATAATAAGCTTTCTCCTCCACCATACCTAGGCATAGTCATGTTTCCTTTCCTTTTTCTTCTTAATTCTTTTTTCATTCACTATAAAGGCTGCTGACATAGCTGCTATTTTCTATTTCTTTCATATATTGATGCTTTATGTTAAGCTAGACCTGGGTATAAAGTCTCAAGCAGGCCCTCATTGCTCTCCACAGAAACGGCCTGAAAGTATCAAACAGCACTGTGGACAATAAAGTACCTACTTTTCTGTACCTCCATGGACCAGGCTTTTTAATCGATTGTAATACTATCAGGTACCCTTTGGAACTACCCATTGATAAAATAGTAACCCCAAATCTCATCGAAGTCCTATGTGTGGTTACTATAAAAACAGTGAGCTATGTGTCTCCCTTGAGGAGCCCACCCCTGAACACAGCTTACATTTTTCTGAACCCTGCTCTTTCTCCTAATATTCGTGCTTTATCCTATATTATAATGCCTTTTGGTAACTTCCAGTACAGTTCTGATTTACTGTATCATCTTGTCTTGAATTTTTTTTTTCTTTTTAAGAGATTGTTTTTAAATATCTGTGTATATGTGTCTGTGATGGCAGGGCACGGGGGTGGCAGGGCACAGGGGCGAGGGGAGTGCTTCAGGAGGCCAGAAGAAGGTGTGTCATCTCTGCACTGAAGACTTTGTGCTTGAAGCACATGGAGCAGCTTCTGCTTTTCTGGCTGAACATAGACAAATGGGAAAGGTGAATGCGAGCCTTAGTCACGCCTTCTTGTTTGCCAGCACCTCATGACTTCAGTGCTGACATGTTTAGGATAGCTGGAGGTGTGTCTGTGTTTGTTTGTGGTGTGTGTAGATGAAATCAGTTTTTATAACTAAAAGTGATCAAATGTTGGCCATTTCGTGTAGCTCTACCTAGCAAGATATCGTCATATGTAATTTGGCATATCTAATTCACTACAGGATTGTTGTGCAGGGATCAGTATGTATCACAAAGACAGGGTTGCTAAAAATATACATATTGATGATGGGACTACTTTGATGGGGAACTAAAATATTAGACCAAAGTAATGTAGAAAACAGGAAAGGGCAGATCAAAGTGAAAGCATTCTCCAGTCTTGCATTATCCAGGGAGAAGATGGGAATATTGATCATCTCTCACTTTTTACATCAGGCAACATTATTAAAGTTTTAAAGAGAATCCATTAAATGAGGAGAAAGAATAGGAGAACTTTCAAACTAGTAGACGGGGAAACAAGAATAAAGAGCACTGGTTGACCTCCAGGAGAGGATGGAGGATTGATTGCATGCACTCGCCTCCGGCTGTTTCCTGAAAGCCCGATAAACTGTCATTAAAGTGCTCTTTTTAAAAATATACAAGTCCACAAGGAGGATAGAAAAGGAGACAAAAGCAACAATATTTTGGAAACTGTAAAGTCAAATAGTGGTTACTGGGAACACTGGAAGTGATGGATTTTGAAATGAGCAGTCCAGAAAGCCAAGGGATTTCTGGGTTTACCTGTTCAAACTCCTCCCAAAGTTCAGAGGCAGCAGCAACAGATTCTTCTGTAAGCGTGGGTGACAATGGCACTAAAAATGCAGCAACTGGCTCAAGATATGTAGGAGAAACAGTTGCCTCCTTTGACTCTACTTAGTAAGGCCACTGTTCCTCCACTAGGGCAACAGAAAACTAGATGCTTGTTTTTTGGATGTCTCACCTACAGAAGACAAGGTATGTCTGGCTTGGTGGCCATGCCTGTAATCCCAATGCTCAGGAGGCAGATCTTTGAGTTCCAGGACAACCTGGTGTACAGAGTGAATTCCAGGACAGCCAAGGCTACACTGAGAAAACCCTGTCTCGAGAAACACAAAAGAAAAAGAAAATTCCATACTATAGTCAAAAAGCAGTCCTAACCTTTCTCTACTTGTCTCTGATTGTCTTTGAGACAAGGTCTTAATGTGTAGCCCTCACTGGCCTGAAAATCACAGCCCTCTCATCCCAGGCTTCCTAGCTCAAGTTATGTTTAAGGTGTCTCAGGTTGGAATATTATCAGGGAGAGGTGGGGGTCTTCCCATCACACCACACTGGGAGGCACACCATGGCAAGTCCTCCCATTTTGGGGGGGAGGAGCATATTTCATTCAGGTCCACGTTATAGCGACATAATGTATTATGTCACAGCGAGTGATTTTCTGTGTATGTTCTTTCATTCATCTTTGGAGATGTTTAGTTTGGGGTGGATAGCCTAGAAGCGAGATCGTTGGCTCAAGCATGAGTGTTTGATACTGTTTGATATTTCTCACTAAAGGAATTGTTCTGTTTCATATATCTACAAACCCTGCATAAGAATGTTTTTGGTTGTCTGCTTTATTTATGCCTTACCAAAACGTGTGTGACAGTGCCTGGAGTTGTGGCACATACCTGTAATCCCAGTACTAGAGAGGTGAAGGCAGGGGGATCAAGAATTCAGGTCATCCTCAGCTACAAAACCAGTGTGAGGCCTGGGCTATGGGAGACTCTGCCTGGAAACAAACAACAACAACAACAACAAACTGGGCTGGCAGATGCCTCCCCAGGTAAAGGTGCTTCTGCTGAGCCTGACAATCTGGGTTTGATCCCCCAGACCCACATGGTGGAAGGAGAAAACCAACTCCTATGAGTTGTCCCCTGACCTTTTCATGTGCACATGTACACACAAACACACACCACACACACACACACCACATATACACACACACCACACACACACACACACACACACCACACACATACCACATATACACACATACCACACACACACACAAATATTAATGTAACAACAACAACAAAAAAAAAAAAACTAAAACAAAGGCATGCCTGACATCTGACACACGAGAAAAATCTCTCTTTATGCACTTCTTCATTTCTCCCATTATGGGGAAAGCTGGTGTGTTGCATGTGTAATTGTAATGGTTATTTGACTTTTCTGTGACTGTTTTGTTCATACCTTTCCCTTATTTTCTACTGAAAATCTTATTTTTTATATTCACAACACACACAAACACACACACACATATACACAATGATGAGCTGTCTTTTATTAGTGATTGTATCAGTCAGGGTTCTCTAAGGAGCAGAAGGAAATAAATACATGTGTATAGGATTTACTAGGCCGTGTCCATCTTGTCCAACAAAGGCTGTCTACCAATGGGAAGGCCAAGAATTCAACAGCTGTTCGGTCCACGAGGCCGATGCCTCAGCTGGTCTTTAGTATACGTCAGAATCCCAAAGAAGTAGGTTCCACTAATGTCAGTGAAGGAATGGACT